ATTTATCTCATGTAGATTCAGGTAGTACATTGCTAGCACTATGAGGGAAGTGCTTATTGTGAAAGCCTGCCTTAAATTTTTGCAGCCAGACTCTTCCACAGGGTTGGGGCGATGCAGCCTGTGAAGGTTTTTGAAGTGAGAGCTTTCCTAATGGCGTAACAGCGTCCCTTGTAGAGTCTTACGGAAGCTTTAGTTGCGTCCTATTTGCTTGAAAAGAGTTTCCCCTCGTTTCACCCCCTGCCCCATACAGCCATTGCTCAGACAAAGCCGGTATTGTTCCTGCATACTGCCTTGTTACAGGGCTCAGCGTGTCTGCGTGCTCTCCTAACACAGCTGGACACAGGCAAGCTGTGAAAACTGCGGGCGGCACTTTGCTCTCTGCAGGACTTGCTGTGTCAGTTTATATGCATCTGCTGGGCTGGAGCTGGCTCTAGTCCAGCCAGCTTGAAATGTAGGTGAGCACAAGTTTATTGGTAAAAAAACTGGCTCAGTGTCATACCCACCCAATATAAACTGGTAAATCCACATGTAGTTTTCATTTGGATTTAAAACTGATCAGATGTGATTTTTATCAGTGCTGAGGTCAAATACTGGATGATGATATTTGTGATCTTCCCTGCATTAAAAAAAGATACAATTTTCATAACAGTATTCAAGACTTGCAACTATATTAAAATCTCATAGATTTCTATATAGAAGAGAATTGGGCCTTTTTTTATAGGCTGATTGGCACCATTATGTTTGGTTTTCATTGTTAGCAAATGTTGCCTTTTGCAGCTACCAAAACCAGGCAGAGAACAAGAAGGTGACTGGCTGTGACTGACTTCACTGAAGTCAAACGAAATAGTTGCTGTAATGTTAGGGGATCTCTTAGCAACCCAGCCCTGTAGTCGTCCACGTGTCTGTCATGTCTGCGTCCCATCTTCTCGTGGTTTTGTGTGTGTGTCCTGTCTCCCGTCCCCCTTACACCGACATTGGCACTAAAATGGTTTTGTCTTTGACGTTTCCGTAATTCGTAGCTTTTGGCCATCTTTCGCAGAGGGTGGATCAGTGAACTATGTCACCATTTATCTCAAACAGTGGATGTGAGATAAAGGCAAACCCTGACTTTATAAATAAATAAATAAATAAATAAGTAAAACCACCAGAAAAATACTTAAACCAGGCAACCCGACCCTATTTTGACAAAATCCCAAGGGAACTCAGGCTGGCTGTTGTAATAGCAGCCACAGCTGCTTTCTTTGCTCCTAGACCTGTTGTGGATCCAGATACTGTTGCGTTTAAGAACATGTTCCCACTGCCTTTTTATAAAGGTCTTTCTGGTATGTAGGAAAATTTTGGTTCAAGTCTCCTGAGAACTGAGTTCAGAAATGGAAGTGGTGTCCTGTTGTGAGTTTTTTATTGTTAATTTTGTGGGGAAAGGTAGCTGCACTTAGCATAGATGTTAAAATTTCAGTTATGCTTCTCTCTCCCAGGATTTTGAGGAAGGATGTCTTCTACTCACAAAATGTGATGCCATTCAAACAAGTCAACAGGAAATTTACCCTACCGACAAAGGAAGTGGTATAGTATCTTTCTTGTCAACTATGTTCAGACCTTTTGTGGAAGGTTATCAGGTATGTTCTTCAGAAAATGTGTCTTTTTTTTCTCTGGTGTCTTATAGGGAAACTAGGAGAGCTGGGATACTTCTGCAGTATCAGTAGTGACTGTTTTCATGGCTGCGGAGTGCAAGAGTTGTGAAATAGCAGTAATAAGTATCTTAAACACCACCCTTTCCCCAGGATCCCTGTGATGGGCCACTGTGGGTGTATAAGCTTCACAGGGAGTTTGCTGCTACCAGGTTCATTGCTCTTTCTTACGAGCAATGCTCTTGCTTAATTAATTTCATGTAGGCTGTCCTGCCAGGTGCGGAAATTAATTTCCATCTCATATCTGATAGCTTTTTTGGGAGTCATTAATTGCATCCATATCTCTTTAAAGTCTCTTGGTTTTCCAAGGTTTTAATAAGACTACACACATTCTTGTAATAAGCAATGTATACAAAAGCAGGAGGCTAAAATCTCAAGTATGTCAGGATAAGATTGATGGGACTGTAGACGTTTGAACCTAGTGGAATCTGTTAATGATCAGGTCTAAGACTCGGGCTGAACTGTACTGATCTGCTCAGTTTTTCACGTCTGTAAAACAGGTATTGCTTTAAAAAAATTATACTGGTTTTGATTGTGAAAACAGGAATGTCAAATTAATGTCATGTCAAATTAACGTCATGTCAAATTAATGTCTAAGGTGACTATTACAGTAATACCGAATCTTATTTTAATATTAGGATTCTCATACCTGTTAAACAGTAATAAAAAATATCAGCTGCTCTGTGTAATGATACCTTGAGTTCCTCTTCTACACTTCTCAAAGTGTAACTATTACTTACTCATGAGGACATGTCTGTTGTAATTCATAACAATCTGACAGTCAAAGAAGTGCTAATTTTTTTTTTTAATGTTAGTTAATTTACAGATATCTCTCAAAGGAAACAAAAGAAGCCTTTACTGAGAAGCAGTTTATACCTGGAGTACGCAGCTTTGTTTTTCAGCTTCTTGAGAAGGGTGTGTACAGTTGTTATGCAATATGATTTTACAAGTGTAGCCTGTTAATGGACAGTGATAAAACTTTTAATTGTGTTTCTCCGTAGGAAATACACAGTGTTACGAAGCACTGTCTTCTGACATGCAGAAAAATGCCTTAGCAGCTCTTGTGCAACTAGGTGCAGTGAAGAAGAAGAAAATGTAAGTAAGAGTGGTTTTTTGGTACGCAGAAGTCAGTGTGTGGTCTTACTGGCAATTCTTAATGACTGAGCTATTAGTATGAAGTGGAACAGCAGAACCTCAACTGCCTGAGCACCAGCCAACTGAAGGTTGACTGGAGTTACCGGAGTCGTGGTGAAGACCCAGGTAGTTCCTTTCTGTACACGTTGTAGAGGCAGAATGGCACCCTCTCATAGTGAGAACACTCCTGTGGAACCCAGCAACCAAATTAACTCTCTCACTAGTAGGCTTCTTCTGACTCCCCTTACCTTTTGGATTTCAAAGTTTCCTTCAATGCTTTGATAAGCAAAGAGACTAGTTCTGCTTATTTTTAATAGAATAGTTACTCTGTGTGTTACAGTAAGTCTCACTGGGCAGTGTAAGAAATTATCAGAAATACTGCTAATTTTTGGGGGGTTTCACTGCTGACATCTCAAAGCAATTTAACTGAAAGCTTAGTCATTAAAGTCTTTTAATGCAGTTCATAGTTTATAGGCCCAAGATTAAAAAACAGCTATTGTTATACAAAGATACAGTGACATGCATTTCCTGTTATCAGATTAATTTGTGTTGTGCTTTTTACTGTAGTTAAAAGTATAACCATGGAAGCCCCTGATACAAGTCCCCACATTGTCTTGAGTGTTTCAGAGAACTCAGCTGGCATCTGATGAACCTGAGCTATTTTCTTATGCCTCTGTTCAGGAAATTCCTTGGTTAAAGATTTTAGTGCTCTTGGAAAGCGCACCAAGTACTGTCATCGTTACATCCCCTGCCATGTCACTGTGCTAAATAGATGTCTATAGCTAAATTCCCCTTGCAAGTAAGAGGGATAAATCAGTTGACTGCAACAGAATTTGACATCAGCTGAAGATTGGTTCAGTTTGAGATAGTCTTTAAAATTATATGATTGAAAACAAACAAATGTTTTCTTCCTGCAATTGTCCTTAATAAAAAAAAAAAAGGAAGAGACAGACATGGGGACTCTGAACAAGAAGATGACTAAAGAAAGCACACCTGTCCTCAAGTACAATCTGCCATGTCCTTAAAATTAATCTGTATGCTGGCAGGATGAAAAATATGATTTAATTATGAAGATGCTCAGTGTATTCGTATAAAAATGACTGGAATAAGAAATATTCATTGAAGAAACAGGCTTTTTTCTTTAACTGTAGGTCCAGTGGATTCGCTTACAATGTAAATCAAGAGGCTGTTAATAAAATCCTGGATATGTTTGGTAAGTGTTCTGTAATGAATTTGAAGAGGGCTTCTCAAGTTGTAAATTACTTTGGACAATGCACATACGTTAGATGTAGTGTTTTTTCCCTAGTAGTTTCTTAGAACTGTATATTTATCTGCATAAAAATCCTAATGATATTTTTTTGACATTACTTTTTCCGGTGTCACTCACCGACTGCAGCTTTGAATCACCCTCCTTTATTTGAAATACTGTGCAACATGATAGCTAAGGAAAATAAAGCAAAAAGAAGCTTAATGGACCAGTATTTACAGCATTTTGATGATTTATTTTTTTTTATTATTATTTTTTCCCTGTTAGACGCTAGGATACCTGTACAGAAACCTGTGGCCGCACGACTCTGAGTGGCTCCTGATGCCGTGAGCAGCTGTCAGCGCCTGCAGCGGGAGGGCACCCACTGGCACCCACTGGCACCCAGCGGCAGGCGGGGGGGGGGGCCACGCCTGGGGGGCAGCAGGGCCACCTGCAGCCGCCTGCACTCCCTCAACGCTGAGAAACTGTTGCCACCGTGGGTTAAGAATTGTATGTGTGTCCTCACCCTGTTTTGGTTTGTTTTTTTTTTTTTTAAACAGATTAAACATTGTCTTTTTTTTTTTTTTGATAAATATGTAAAGAAACATGCGCAGTAATGGCTACTTAAGTGCATTTTTCTAGACTTGTAACAAAGAATGTGATTGGTTTCAAATATTTCATGGATGTGAAAATGTAACAGAAAATTAAAAGACTTGCTTATTAAAATTAATATTTAGAAAGATACGTTGCTGGCTGGCTAAATGTGAGGTAAGGCCCTTAGGAACGATGAGTACAAACTGAATCCTAGCCAATAACCAGAAATGCTAACTGGTTTGTGGGGGTTTTTGTTTTGTTTTTGGTTTTTTGTGTTGTGTGTGGGTTTCTGTGGGTTTTTTTGGCCTTATTTTAATTGCTTCATGAATGTTACATTTAAAAATTGAGGCAAAGCCGCGTCGTTACCGGTAGTGCTCGCCCCGCCCGCCCGCCCGCGAACGGCGGCAGCGGTACGCGGCGGCAGCCGTTGGGGGCGGCGCGAGACGAGGCCCGTCCCGCCTCCCCGTCCAGCGGCACCATGGCGGCCGGCGTGGAGCTGGGGTTGGTGGCGGCGGCGGAGCCGGGCGGCGGCTGGCGGCTGCGCAGCCCCTACTTCCCCAGCAAGGTCGGGGGGCGGCCGGCGTGGCTGGGCGAGGTCGGGCTGCCGGGGACCGCCGCCCTGCGCTGCGGCCTCTGCCATCAGCCCCGCGCCTTCCTGCTCCAGCTCTACGCGCCGCTCCCCGACCGCCCCGACGCCTTCCACCGCACCCTCTTCGTCTTCGCCTGCCGCAACGCCGCCTGCTACCGCCTGCCGGGCCCGCGGGGGCCCCTCTGCGGTGAGGGGGGGGGGGGGCGGGGGCGACAGGAGGAGGCGGGGGCGAGGGCCGCCGCCTCTCCGCTGACCGCCGCCTCTCGCCCGCAGTGTTCCGGAACCAGCTGCCGCGGCGGAACAACATCTACCCCGAGGAGCCGCCCCCGGAGGACCCGTCGCCGCCGGGCGCCGCCTCCGCGCCCCCCCGCCGGCTCCGCAGCGGCGCCGCTCTCTGCTGCGTGTGCGGCTGCCCGGGGCCCCGCTCCTGCGAGATCTGCCGCTGCGCCAACTACTGCAGCCCCGAGCACCAGGCCCTGGACTGGCGGCGAGGGCACCGGCGCTCCTGCGGCCTGCTCTCCGCCATAGGTGCGGCGGGGCGGGGCGGGGCGGCCGTTGGTCCCGCCGCTCGCGAGCGGCGGGGGCACGCGCCGAGGGAAGAGGGGGCCGTGGTTTTTGCCGCCTTTGGTGATTTGTAAGGAAAGGATCGGTAGTTCTTCTTACGGGTTTCCTTGATGTGAGGCGAGAAGGCGGGAGCTTTGTTGCTCCGGGCAGGTCTCTTTCAAAGACCTCTTTCTGTCCGCCTTCGGTCATAAAAAGCTGGAAGGATCTAGACCAATTTTCTCCCTGTGCAGGCTACTTTTGAGACGGCTTATTCAAAAATTGTAAAGGAGGGTGTGAGGGTGATGCCTTCACAGGGTACTGTGACGGCCAGGTGATGAAAAGAGTAGTTTCCTTGACTGTGCTGGTTGAGAGACCCTTTTCTTAAATCATCCCCTCTTCTGCTCTCTTGTCTCATTCATATGCATGTTTGTTTGCTGGTTGACAAAGCGACAAATGGAGAGTATTCAAAGTAATTTTTTAGTCTCCAGAAGTATCACGTTAATAATGGGGCAATGAAAGTTGGTGTGTGCTGTGTATGTCCTGTCGTACGTTGTGGGATGCTAGTTCTGGAAACTTAGTAGGAAGTGGAAATAAGCAGAACACAAGAAGTTGATTTGTGCAAATCCAGTTACGGGTCAGACTTTTGTAACATTTAATTGAAGCAGTGGAAACCTGAAACATGTACTGGCATCTGGTTAATACTGTCATTACAGAAGCTGTATTTGATGCGTTTGTGGAAACCTTGCCTGCTCACAATATGCATTGAAAAAGTAAGAAAAATGGTATGGCTTCAGGGCCCCTGTGCACACCTGGCTTGGGTGCATATGCTGGTTAGAATGAAATGTGCTCAGAGCTGTCAAACTGCAGGTTTTGGTTTTTAAAATGTGGCTGCTAACGCTGTTTAGTCTGTCTTGAGTATCTCTTGGGTTTACAGAGATTCAAAGCAACGTGTCACCTATTGTAGTTTTCTACTGTCCTTAATATAAAATCTTGCTTTAAATCAGGTCTAGCAGTGATGTAAATCATTCTGGCTCATGGAGTGTTTGTGCTGTATTTTTGCTATGTAGTTTGCTGTGCAGCTTTTGGGGAGAAGGATGTGAAATACGAGATGATGTTGTGAAGTGGTGTTTGTTTTCTGTTTTGTAGATGAATCAGCGGATGCAATTCCAGAGCATAATGAATTCCTTTTTCCAGAATATGAGATTTTGATAGAACCTGAGGAACCGGAATGTCCCGCTGACAGCAGTGTAGATCCCGATGATGAACAAGGAGCTGCAGATACATCAAAAGACCCAAAAGAACAAGAGGAACTCAGAGCTACAGGCAGTGCAGGTAAGAAATAAGATGCTGTCTGTAATTCTTCCTAATGAAGCCTGTCTCACATCTTTAAAATATAAAATACTGTGATTTTTAAGTGTTCATTGTAAACTACTAGTGAGAGTTTTTTTGTAGACATCCCATAGTGTAAGTTGCTTTTAGGGGAGAGACTTCCTAAGCCCCAACCCCAGGAGCTGTTGAAGCGGCCGTTGCCGCAGTGAAGCTGCAGGTAGTGGGGAGTTACACCGGGTGTTTCCCACAGGTCAGAAACAACTCAGCTGAGAGAAACGGCCCGGAGCACCTGCTGCTGGACCCTGTTGGAGTCAGGAGATTGAGTTAGATGGTCTTGGCCTGACTTGGTTTAATTAGTCTTAATTTATAGAAAATACTTGAAAAGATCTCCCATGTCTGTGCTAGAAGAAAACTGTTCTGAGGCTGTTTTAATTGACCTTGAATTAAGCAGTTGAAGTGCAGGTCCCTTCCTCCCCCACCCCCCCCGAATTCACGATGTGTTGCAGCTCACCACACCGGCTTTGCTCATGCCCGGGGTGAGGAGCTTGTGGTGTTACAGGGGGAGGCTGTTGGGTTTCCTGCTGTCCCTTACTGTGGTCTGAAGCTGTCTCGAGGCTGCTCGGTGCCCCATGTTGATGTGAACGTTGGGGTGTCACATACACTCATCCATACTAGAAACTGAAGCCTGGCACACGCATGGCACGGGTGGCCTTTTCCAAATGTCACGTTCTGAGGGTTCGGCAGTCTCAGAGATACCCACTGGGAGCTATAAACTTTGGTAGATTAACTCCTTCCCTTTCTGGTATTCAAGTACTGACATCGATGTTTAAAATGCAGCTAAAAGTAGCAAGTGGATCTGTGTGTGACTGAATGTTAATATGTCATAAAAAGAAAAAAAAAAATCTTGGAGTGATTTACACCAGGAACGATTCTTGAGAGCAAAATGCACTTAAGAGGTGCAAGATTGTTTTTAATTTTTGACTGTCTTGCGTTAGCCTGTAACCTTTGAGCATTTTTTTTTTCTTGCTCAGATGAAGCATTTCAGTCCTCAGATGAAGAGACACTGGAAGCAATGGCAAAACATGAGTCTGAAGAGGACAAGGTCTTCCAGATGTTTAAAGAACAAGTAGATGCTGAACCAGAGCAGGTCAGAGGATGGGGCAGCCTTAGAACTTGCAGGTTTTGGCACAGCATCCGGCTGCACCTGCAAAATGTTTCACTGCATTTTATACCTAGGGTTAGAAATGGTGATGGGGATGTCTCCTCGTCCTTCACACACCTTAACCAACATACTGTAATGTTCCTTACGTGCAGAACTTGATTCATGCTGAAGTAAGAATGTAGCACCTGCTCATCTACCTCAAACAGAAATTGGCCAGGATGAGAAGGCAGAGGGGCACTGAAGCCAGTGTGGGGAGAGGACCTGCTGTCCTGTGAAGTGGTTCTAGCCAAAGGAAGTGGTGAACCATTGCACTCTTCCCCAGCCTTTGGCCCTGTTGGCTTTCCTTTCAGCAGAACCAAAACTGTAGAGAGGAGTTCTGTCACTGCCACCAGCTGCATGGGGGGGTTGGTTTGGCGTTTTTTAAGATTGAAAAAGTTAGTGATGGCTTTAAAATTTCAACTATTTAAAATAGAAATCTCCCCCCATGCAATTTCTTGCTAATGCGGGAGGCTGAAAAAAAGCCACATTGTCAAACACACACATGGTTTCTGGTTCCATTCAGAGGAAACACAGGCCTAAATCCATGAAAGTGGTGGAGGAAGTGGAAATTTTTTCCATGTTTTTCCTGGTTGCTGAGGGGTTAAGACGCACACATAGAAAGTAGGAGACTTCAAGTCTGTTCCCTCCTCTGCTTGGGGCAGGTGCATCAACTCCCTCTCTGACCATCCCCAATGCCCGATTTGCTATATAAATATTTTGATAGTAACAGAACAACAAAGGATATGAATGTTTGAAAATACCTCCTTTTTGGACATTAGGACAGTCCCCTTACATTTAGATGCAGAACTGCAAACCGAAAGAGCACTCTTGACTTCTCAACACTTCTGTGTGCTAATTACCAATCTGTTCTTCTTCCATCTCAAGACTATAAACTATGTGACCTGGTGTTTCTGGGTGTTGTGGTTTAGGCCTGATTGGCAGCCAACCACCATGCAGCAGCTCTCTTTCCCTTCCCCTCCGGCAATGAGAAGGGACAGAGAGCCGGGCACAGAACCTTGATCATTCGAGCAGGAGCAACAGGCCACAAATCAGTGTCTGCTCCACCGTAGATCTCCATGGGTGGCGGGGGGGGCCACCCTGCTGTCTCCCCACAGGATACAGGGGGGTCTCTGCTCCGGCACACCTCCCCCCTCCTCTCTTCCTCCGTTCCTCCACTGACCTTGGTGTTCATGCAGCTGCAGCAACTCCTCCTCACCAGTCCGACTGCCCGTCACCACGTCCCTTCTTAAATACGTTATCGCAGAGGCGCAGCCGATTGGCTCAATTTCCCAAACAGAAGTGGAGCTGACGTGGAGCTGGGGGAGCTTTGAGAAGCTTCTCACAGGGGGCCGCCCCGATAGCCCCCTCCCCTGCCACCAAAAATCTCCACCACTCACTCAACCCAGGACACTGGGTCCTTTAATTAGAGAAATACAAATCATTGCAGTTTATCCCTGGATCATTGAAAAAATGCTGTGTAAATACTTGTGTGACTCAGATAGTTAAGAAGACTTATATAAAGAACCTGTCTTATTTAGAATACCACTTTGGCAACTGATAGACTTTGCCACGGGTATTACTTAAAGGAACTGATCTTTTTCTGCACCATCTTACAGCTTTATCTATGTCAGTAAAAACCAATTTTATACCAAGATGAAAAGACAGTCTTGAAAATTTAAACTTCTGCTCTATTTCAGATTCTTAGGTACTGCAGAGGAGGAGAGCAAATCTGGGTATCAGGTGAAAATATTCCTGAAGAAAAAGATATTCCAAATTGTGTATGTGGTGCCAAGAGGATTTTTGAATTCCAGGTATGTAAATGAATTTAAATATAGGTAATGTATTTCAGACTTAACAGGATCTAATTGTATAGGTGTTGGCTTGTAATTAGAGCAAGGTCGTTGAAGTTGCTGTAGACTAACTATGCTAAATTGTACAGAGCCCTTAATTATTATTGCAACTGCTTTTTCCCATAAGGCTTTCACATACAGAAGGCAGGTTCCCATCTGGTACTCTGCACCATCTATAAAATGGTGCACTTGTGAATATGGAACCAACTTTTAAGTAACAGGAGTCTAGTATTCTATATTTTTTAAATAAAGCTTCCACAACGTGAATTGGAAATATGCCTGGCTGGAAGTACTCAGCTGTAGAATTCTAAATACTAGAAGCATATGTATGCTGAAATGTCATGCGATGGCAAAACATAGTTTTGAAGGTAATTTCAAATGGAAGGAGGCTTACAAATCAGGCAACACTTGGTCAAGTAAAACTTCTGTAGGCAGGTAAAATAGGTAGCGCCGTGCCTTTGATTCCCTGTGCATCTGCTACACTGCTTTGGGAATTCCAAATTTCTTTTATTTGAGCTGCTGTGTTACTTAGTAGCTTTGATTGGGATTTTGGCAATGAAGGCAGGGCCCTTTGTCAGGAAGAGATGCAGGGAGAAGGTAGAGAGCTGTGGCCTGCCTCTGAACCTTTGTTTTTCCTTGAAGATTATGCCACAGCTCCTGAACCACCTTCAGGTTGACAGCCTTGGAGAGAGCATTGACTGGGGAACGCTGGTGGTGTACACCTGTGCTGACAACTGCGGTGAGGGAGACCAGTACCTGGAAGAGTTCATATGGAAACAAGACTTCTCTGCAAGCTCTTTTTTCACTGAGTTACTGAGTTGAGTCATCTAAATAAATACTTGCTTTGTTTCATTGTACCTCTGCACTTTGCAACCAGGTAATTAAACTGAAGTCACTGATAGTTCTAACTGTCACTCTTAGAGTTACTAAAAGTAGACCTTGATAGCCCCTCTCTTGTGCTTCACGGGAGCGTTAACTTCAACCTGGTAACAAAGCCAGATGCATCTGTTTAGTGGATTTCACTTCAAATCTCAATTCTAAATGTTTAAATAAAGATGAAACATTTTTGGATTGCTTAAACATATCTTTTGTTGATGACTGAACTGCAAGAACTTACAATGTTGTCTGTCACAATTTTCTTTGTGCTACTCAAATTAATTCACAGAGAAAAGCAGGCTATTGTAAGATCACTTGAGTGCTTATGCTCAGGAGGTGTAGAGAAGTCACAGCTTTGTCTTAGCTGTGTAGGCTTTCACTGTGGAACTTCAATCTGCCTCTTTCTCAAAAGGTACACTGAATCTAGCTTGGCAGTTGTTACATGTTCTGAGTGGCTGTTCAAGATAGAATGCGCAAAAATTAAGTGTTTTACCTCAGTTAAAACTATTTCTGTATGGGACTATGGTGCAGAAGCATTTTAAAAAGATCCATCTGTACCAGAAAATGTTTGTCTTATTACTTGGCTGAGTTGTACCCTAAGTCTGCTCTCTTTGGTGAAGTTTAAAAATAAGTGCCCTCTTCAGGCATTCCTCTGCTATATCACTGCCCTATAGCTGGGGCAAGAGAAAAGTGAAACCATAATGCTGAATTTACTGTGGTAGCTGTTTAACCACTCCTGTGGATATAGCTACATTTGCAGAAAAGGTAAGGCGCGTGTGTGTGTGTGTGTGTGTGTGGCTCAATATAGAATTTACTTCAATTACTTACTCCCTGATCCTGCTCGAAGCAGTCATGTCTGCTTACCAGTGATTCTGAAGGTGATTTTATAAAAGCCATAGACCCACTGTTGGGGGGGGGGGTTGGTATTAATTTAGAAGTTGGAAATACTCAAATGAGCAAGCAGGAAATGCTTTACATAAAAGCTGTTTTGTTATCACAGAATTTAATTTCTAAAAGGGTCATTTTAAGCCTTGGTAGGTCATGGAGAAGCCAGCAGTATCTTAAGTCGCTATAGTACAGTTTGACTGATTTTTACTGAAAACCATCCCACAGGTACTTAAGGCTCCAGGTTTTCCTGCAGAGTTATGAGTTTTGCAGATAAGTTGGTAATAGTTCAGGGTCATGCAAAAGCACGGACAGTCCTGCAGGCGTGTTTAACAGCACTCAGGAACGCTTGCTAGCTCACAGCGGAAGGCACTGAAGGGATGTGGTGTCTGGGTCTCTGGAAGTGATCCTGGCAAAGCTGTGTTATTAAACAGCAGCTTTCTGATAAGAGCCATGAAACCAATTACTACAATGCGTGGAGAAACACCAGTGTACACCTCTGTGGGAGAATAGAGAAGAGTAAGGATTAAGGTCACTCAGCATTTCCAAAGGGAGCAGTAGAAAAACAGCCAAAACTTCTGTCTGGAATGACACACCAACTTAGTAAATAGACCATGGTTGCATTTGGGTTAGTTTTAGGTAAAAGCTGTTTGAAAGAATGTGCAAGTCATAGAAAGGAGGTGACTATCACTGGAAATGTACTGGAGAAAAAAAAAGTTTATTTTTAGTTCTCAGCTCGTTCCGCTTCAAGGACAGTTCAGCGGGAAGATTATGTACAAACTGACTGTAATCATAAGGGCTTTGACATTTTACAGGAACACTAATCTAGTGAGACTGTCATAGTTGGTAAAATACAAAAGTAGTAATTTGAAGACATTCTAGAAGCTAAGCAGGGATCTTTTGTTCCAATTCAGTCAGGTGTAACTATTTAAGACTTGCATAAATCCCAGCTGTTGAACACAAGGCAACACATGCCTGAACACACACTTCTTTAACCAGTCATTGCTTTTGCTTTAGCGTACTAGAAAGTCAAGCTAGACGTTGCCAAGGATGCAACTGCTGGTAAGCAAGCCAGAGCATTGTTCCGATTCTCTCAAAATGACAAGTCACTTACAGTAGTGCATGTGCTATTGAAAAATCCAGATTAAATTTAAAAGTTTTCAATGTATTTCACTCTACCAGCTGGGTAGTTTTAAAATTCATTACGACAGGTCCCATAACTGTACAAACAGGGTTTATTGTACATGTGGAGCTGAAGGAGGAAAGAGAAGGTATGTATTATATATATATATATGTACAGTGAGCCACTTTCATTAATAAATTTATTGTGTCTTGCTTAATACTGGAAAGAGGGAATGTGTCTGGCACCAAAGAAATTTAAAATTGAAAAAATTTAAAAGCTTAAGTTCTGAAAATTATAAAAACTATGGTCATATGGAAGGAAGTTAAAACATATATACATGGCCATTTAAGTGGTTTATACACTGAGTGACACAGTTGCATTTGTTTTTTAAACCAACTTACGGATTTTCTATTAATAGAACTGGCATTAAAACTATTCGAAAGCTAAAATATAAATAAAACTTGGAGGGACTGCTCCAGGAACAGCCCAGTAAAGCAACTCACAGTAACTCAGTAGACATAATCAAGAATACAGATCCCCTTGAGCATCAGGGAAGTAGGCACTGACTGGGAAATAGTCCAAGACCTGGTGTTACAGCTTCACTGGAAGTCCATTTATTGTTACTGCTGTGCCATACGCAATACCTTTTAAAATATACCCGATTTCTCTGAAAGATGTAGAAACTGTTACGTTGTCTTTCGGAATCCCTTTAAAATAGGATAGATGTTTTCAAATGCTTCGTAGATTTCTGCTCGTACTTTAGCACCTAGAGAAAGAGAGGAAATTAAGTTAGTTTGTACCTTTTGCCAGATACTTAATTTAAGCTTTCAGAATGTTTATTTGAATGCAACTCTAGAAAAAACCCTGTCTCCATAAATCCTATTTTTAGGTTTTGGTGTTTTTTGGGTTTTTTTAAACACACATTTCCTACAGAGCACATGTTACCAGCCTCCTCACTGTTTATTCCGAGAAGTGGTAAAACTTGCATAAGTACAAAGATGCTAATGATACGCTTGCCAACAGCATTTTCCTCTACCTCATTCCCGCAGGAGAGCCAACTACAAAGCACAGCCCCATTTCTACAGGAAACGTCTAACTGCTGGAGCTTTTTCTGGGAGGGTGAACCCCTGGGGGGGCAAGGCCTAGCAGCAGAGACTGCTGCAGAGGCTGCCACTTGCCATACTGCAGGGCCACGCTAGAGCTGGGGTACCTCTCCCTCTTTGGCTGCTGTATCAAAGGAGAGTGGCAGCAGCCGCCGGCCAAGCTGTCAAAGAACAGTTTGCCCAGTCACACATAGCCAGCACCCAGAAACAGGCTTCCAGATTTTGCCAGAAACATACCTGCGTTCTTACGGCTTCTGGGGCACCTGCATGCGGGCGTCCATGCACCTGGCTAGGATTCACAATCACTGCTTATACTGACTTAGCCAAACACGGGGTTTGCTCTGTGCATTCTCATCCACAGAACACTGTGCTGTCCTTTCGCAGCACTGTCATCTCTGAAGGACAGTACCCAGCAGCTCACATACCTCCGGTACCATTGCGTGTTCTCTGCAATACAGGCTACATCTAACCTACTGGAGTAGGATACTGTCTTCACTTACCAGTTAAAACCACTTTTCCAGAAACAAAAATAAGCAGAACAATTCTTGGCTTGATCATTCTGTAGATTAAGCCAGGAAACAATTCTGGCTCGTAGCTGTAAGAGAAGGGAGTGACAGTGTTTAAATGTGCTTGCAGACACACGTCCCAGTCTTTCACCTGCAGGAGAGCACAGGAATGGGCAGAACAGATGCAGACTTCACTGAAGCTTGCAGGGAGTAGCAGGGCAGATCATTCGGATGAATTCATACTGGGCAACCTCAGTTACACCCAAGGCAGAGCAGCGATGGGAACAAAGGGGCAGGTTTCCGTCTGGTGCTAGGGAAGAATCTAAAGAGATGTCACTCTCTAAGCTAGCAAGAATGAAACACAAGCAAGACTTTTTTTTACCTGCTGAACTGCTGATGTGTGAGTACCAGTCCTTCTAATCTGATGGGAAATTTCACATCACAGCTGCCCACCATGTTCTGAATTTTAAAATCCAAAAATTTTGCAGGAAAACCCAGTTTCTGAACAACCCTTGCATACTTCCTTGCTGCCAGTCTGGATTGCTCCTCACTGAAGAGAGAAAAGGATATCCATATTATTTTTTCAGTTAAGTATTACTTGAAGCAAATAGCATTAAACCACAAATACTTAACTGGGAAAAAGATGTGTGTTGGAGGAGGAGGTCACATGAAAAATTCTTATGTCCAAAATTGACAACTAGCACTGATACGCACACTAATTTCGGTACTAGGATCCTGAACACCACTAATGGTGTACTCACTGTTCATGAGCCAGAAAATAGTAAATTATAAATCCATGTATTTCACATTCTTAAATTTTCAGTATAGAAAAAACTTTGAACTACTACTGCTAGAAAATGCGTCTTTCTATAAAAATCTGTAAACTGCCCAAATCCTCTGCTTGATTCAGCCCAGGCATTCAAACCTGGGTCTAACACAGCTGCACGGCCTTACACGCTGTTGCAGAACTCAACAGCTGAGGATCTGGTCTCTATTAGTGCAGCATAAGGCAACTGGATCTTCAAGTGTCACCAGGCAGAGAAAGCATTTCCTCCTGCACAGCTTTATTCATTAATCTCTGCTCATTAGCTTATTTCTTCTGGATGCCTAACAGACTTCTTCAGAGCAGTTTCTCTTCTGCCTACTGGAGTTAGGTTTATATTTAGTTTTCAATTCTTATGCTTCAATGCACATGTTAAGAACACATCAGACTACAGGGACCAGAGACTTCGAGCTCTTGGCCTCTGATGAATGAAACTACTCAAATGTAAAATCACACTTCCTCTACCACCACCCCTACAGTTTAAGCAGTTCCAGTGTGTAGTCATTGAAATTTTTAAACTATTAGGAAAAAAAATATAACTGCAAAGCCAAAAGTTAATTTAACAACCTCTGCAAGCCAGTTCATCAGACTGTGTTAAAGAACTTCAAAAACAGAACTACAATTTCCCCTTTTGTAGGGAATACAAACAGCCTGAATTAGTTTGCTTGTAATGCCTAAACATACCTTTTTGCCCCTGTGCACACCATTTTTCCAGAGCTGAATATAAGTGCAGTAGTACGTGGTTCTCTTATTCTCATAATAACAGCAGCAAAACGCTGAAATGTAAACATTGAGACTTAGTGAGACACTGCTGTAATCATTACATTAAAATCAAATTTGCATAATCTAACTAGGAAGTAATACTATTGCAAAGAAATATTAAATTCAAACATGGATCACTCAAGATTTACTTGAAATGCTTAAATCATAAGTAGCTTCAAACACACGCTGAGAGCTAGTGCCAGACAGGAAGCATTTCTACCATTGCGTTCCTAATTTACTATGCTTCTCATTACTGTATATGCAACATATAAATTATGCTAATATTTGCAGCAGAGCAATAGAGACAATCTTAAATAAAAAATCAATTTCCTCCATGTCTTGAAATTTTATCTGTTATAAGGAGGACGGAAGACTATCTATCTGCAAATATTTTATGATGTTTTGTTTCTGTGTCTTAAAAAAAAAAAAAAAAAAATCAGTGTTAGAATACCAGCAAACCAGAACAGCTGGAGATCAAAGTTCTGCGTAAACAGAAGCCACTGCAACTACCACAGCAGAACACAGCCACCCAGTTAGCTCTAGATTTTTATTTCAAGTACTGTAACATCTCTTCCTGCATTTCCAAATATTCTTAAACTCTCTGAAGCAAGAGATACTGGAAACTGCTGTGGGCATGGGCATACACACAAACCCCTGTTTGCCTGTTATATTTAACTTGGACCAGCTCACCATGCAGTCCCATAAACTGTTCTGCTGACATAACCAAGGCGGTAGCGTGGGTTACCTAACAGCACATTTGTCAAAATATGGCTTAAATAATACAGGCAATCAACTTCTTTGATAGATGAATGTACTGACTAAAAGTCAGGAGTGTGTTACATAACTCTCTCTGCTGTGGAAAACAGCATTTCGTATTGATCATTCTAGCCTACAAGTTTTACACAGCCACCTACCCCTACCTTAAGAGTTACCATGGCATGCTCAGACTTTTGCTGCACTACCTTACTCACATATAATTATGTAACAGCATCACTGACATAAACATACAGTAACAGCTATTTATCACAAATGCCTGCATGTGTGCTTTAATCTTTGAGAGCAGAGTTCAGGTAAACAGCAGCAAAATCTCAAATACTTAAAAAAAAAAAAAAAAACAAAAAAAAACAAACCAAAACAAAAAAACCTTCCCAGGGCAAGTCAATTGAACTACACAACATCTAAACTTTTATTAGAAACAGTGTCCAACTACCGTGGTTGAAAAGATAACATTTCCAAGAGGAGCCACCCAAAAGAAAAATGAAGTGACATAATTTTCCTGATTCAACGCTCCAGGTCCTCTGCTGTTGCTGAAAGTTTCCCCAAGCTAAAAAAATCCCCCATGGTTTAACAGACTGCTATACAGAAGCAGCAGCCAATTTAGAAGTCAACATGCAAAAAAACCATCAATTTCATTTTGCTTTTCCACCAAACCTAGTCATTGGGAGCAAGGAGATGGCAGGAGTGCTGGGGGACAACATGAAGGAACAGAGCTCAGAGGGGAAGCAAGACTGTAAAAAATGAGTGACTGCACTGCAACCACAAGAATTCCAGGGCAGCAACCAGGTGGAGGAAGCTACAGGATATACAGAACAACTGTGGCTCCGGCAGGAGCCCTGAAGTTGAATTCTTCCTTCCTTCCTCCTTGTTGGGAGACAGGGAACAAGACTTCATCATCAGACGTTTCACAGTAATATGAAAAAGAAACTTTCTGTGCACTAGAAACATGCCCATATGAGTAGTAGCAGAGACCTGTTCTACAACAAAATACTTGGCCAGTGGATTACACAGTTGGTTAGGTTCTTCCTAAATGTGCTGTGTTCTTTCTAAATCTAGCAAATTACAACCTCGTGTTAAACACAACTACATCAGTATAAAAATGCTTTTCACTAATTTGACAGAATGTTCTAGGTTTATTAAAGATTTATTTTTTAACTACAGTATAAAACTGCATCTCTAGCAAGAAGGTTTTTCAACCTGTTACAGCAAACTATGCCCACAACCTGTGCCTTTGACATAACTGTTATGGGATGAACTCTAACACTTTTCTCTTACCTTGGGATTATATTCAGCATTTCGGGCACGAAGCGCAATAGTTTTTAGGTCAAGTTTGCAACCAAGATTCACGGTGGACACAATATTCCTGAAGACAGTTCAGAGAAATACATTAAAAAGACAATAAAGAATTCGCGTGTCTTCCTCACTGTTAACCAATCTTGATTACTTTTATTTTTTTTTTTTTAAATTTGTTTCTCCAAGTCAGTTTGAATGACAACATTCCTACCAACAGGAGCAATGAGCAGTGATTTGGCTCAGCAGCATCATTCTGTAGGGCAGTAGCTCCTAAGGCATGATTGCTGATGACTCCTTATCTGCCAGCTATTATGAAAAGTGTCTCATGAGAAGAATCTCTATTTCAGTTAGGCAGGAAAAATTCTTGATGCTAAGAGCCCCCATCACAATCAGGGAAGCTGCTGGAAACAGGAGAAAATGAAACAGCAATAGTACCATCTGAAATCTTCCTTGGTATGGCCTACAGGGAGGAAGAAGAGGTGCAGAACTAAGTGGGAATGACCCAGGAAGTAAACTCATTGCCCGGTGACAGGATTGCAGGTCTCTAGAAACTTCAAGAGAAGTTCCTAGGTGCAAAATTTCCTTGGAGGCTTGTTTTCTGGGAAACCCCTGAAATCTAAAGGTCCTCAACAGGAAAAAAAAAGAAATATGAGGAACTACTCTTTCAGTGAAAAAGTCACATTATCAATCATTTCTCTTTGGGCCATCTGTAAATTGCTGTAAAAGTCTCTTTAAAACTCGAGTGTTGTGAAAATATTTTGATACCTAAACCTAGAACTCATTCTAGGGATTTTTCCCCTTATTACAAACTCAGCTGTAGCCATGAACTAGAAAAGGGAACATGGAATATTAAGTACAACTCAGCTCTAGCTCCTAGATTAGCAACCAATTTCTTCTTCTCTACCCTTCTAATTCCCTCAGCTGTGACAGAACTTTATTAGTGAAATATTAAAGCAGAATACAGGAACTACGTACAGTAAAGTGGAGCTATTTGCAAAGCGGAGCTATTATTTGCTTTTCTGTGAAGAGGTCACAAGTATCCAGTAAATTACAAATGAGAATATGTCTCCAGGTTACGAAGGTGCTAAATGAAGTCATATGTAACATCCTCCACCGGTATGCTTAAAAGATGTATAGTTGACAAATCGCTGAGAAACTGTTTATATTACTAAGCAGTTTAGTAATGAAACTAAGCTAAAAATAACAGCAAAAATTACTCATATTGCTAGAGGAGACCCATAAATTCTCAGGACCTTCCTTCCCATCAAAAGGCAGTACCCAATTCCTGATGTGGCTTTGGTCCTAAGCCTTTAAAGGGTTGTCTGAGAAAGGACATGCTGCACTAATACACCGGACACTCACTGTAGCTGCGGCACTATCCCAGAGCTCTCGGACGCCGGTGTTGCAGGAGTTATGGGAGTCATTGGAGTCATTGGAGAGGGGTACAGAGGTGTGGTTCCTGGTAAAGGGGCTGTGGTCAGAGTCTGTGAGTGGAAGAGCTGGGGAGTTTGACCAGATGTTCCCTGTGTTGCTTGCTGTGATGTAGATTGCTGTGCTGCTTGCTGCTGCTGCTGCTGCCGCTGCTGCTCCTCTAGGATGGACAGACTGTTGGTGCTCTGGACAGGCTGGGGTGTCAGTCCTGTGCCATATGGCATCATTGGGCTAAAAATGGGAATTCCTGGAGTCATTGCACCCTGCAGAAGAAAGCATGAAACAGAAACCAGCGATCCTGTTGACTCCGTTTTGTTTTCAAGAGGAGTCTAAAAATAAAACAACGTAGGTTGATCATATCAAACCTGAGGCGTATAGTAGCAACTTGCTAAAAACAGAGTGCCCTTGAAAATGCAGCTCTTCTACAGGGTGAAATATTACCTCTAGGGATCTGTCAGTTCCAGCATTGTTCATCTCCAGTCAGTGATGCTGACATGCTTTTCATGCTACCTTGCAAGTGTGTCTCAACTTTGACCCACAATTTAACTTGCAACTGTCTGAACAATGACTGTGTCCATCGTATCAAATGCATTCATAGCACAGCAACAGTCCATTATGTGTGATAAAGGGCAGCCACCAAAATTAAATTAGTATTTCTAGCTCATCAGTCATGTTTCAATTTACAGGACCCCCACATATCTTCATGTTTTTTACACCTCTGGATATACAAATTGACAGTTTTAAAATTCTGTTTTATACTAGTATTATTCGATACTGCGCAGAATTTTTCAGATCTGCAAACAAAAAACCTGAAGTTACATGCAGGAAACGGAAAGCACTTTCACACACAAAAAAATCAGATCATAATTGCATATTAAATAATTTGTTTTTACCTGAGGGGAGGCTAGGCCTTGAGCATAGGGCGGCAAGCTGTTGTTCTGATCCATGATTCCAGTTATTTCTTTGGTGAGGCCAGAAGTAATTCCTTCGATTAATTTAAATTAACTTCAAATCCTAGTGAGTTTTTAACCCTTTAAAACATTCCAGCAATTTAGCTTTTTAAGCCAAGCTGAAAGTGTTAGGAAAACATCAGCTCCAGAGAAATGTGTGTTATAAGTCTAAAATACTAATCAAAGCCTGAAAAGAGAAAAAGTAGTATCTTGAGAACAACGTCTAAACACAAAACCAAAAGCAAACCTATCAGCTGCTGAGTTAGATAACAGACACCCACATACAAATACATGCAAGAACAGTCACACATATGTGCACAATCCATAAAAATAACCTTTTTCAGGCACACTCTAGAAACTTTGGAGCACACTTCTGCTTCAGGCCCTGGCAGGTAACCTGACTCAAATAAGCAGGCCTCTGTCTAACTGAATCCTCCCACACAAACCGTTAATGCTCATTCTACTCCAAGCTCTGCTTTAGCTGGAAAAGCACTGATATTTTTAGAATTTAATTCCCCTGACTACTAACCAACAAGCTTACCGACACATTGCTTGTAAGTCTTTTCCTGGCAATTTTAAGGCTTGGGCTTCCAAAAATATTTTTTCTTCTATGGGAAAAGCATCACTGATCAAATCAAAACTAGGAAACCCTCTTCCATCCACTTCCATAATATAAAACACTAACAGTTTTCAAACAACTGATATGTGCTTTATAAGACAAAAAAACAAACAAACAAACAAACAAAACAAAACAAAAAAAACCACATGAAAGCCAATTTCAGGTACACAAGTGAACTGTATGCATGATTACATTTTTTTTAACTATACCTCTGTTGTTGTGTTGAACTATACCTCTGTGTTGTTGTTATGAAAATAAACACCACGAGTGGAAAATTTAAATGTTATACCTTGATATCAAATATTTTTCCATGAATTTATAGTTTTCTTAACTAGATACCTATTGCCCAGAAATACTGAAGGTCATTTTAAGGCCAGAAGCAGACTACCTCAAAATCTGAAGAAAACCTATTCAGCCTTTTTTTTTTTTTTAAGGTACTAGTGTTCAGAATTACATTAATATTTATACTGCAGCTGAAAAGGCATACTTTTTCCCCCCGCGACCGTAAGCTGGTATTATCTTTATCCTCAACAAAGTTATCAACCAGAGCACAAAGGTGTTACAACCTGAAGACAGAGGGGGGGGGGTAATTTCGAAGCCTAAACATGACCATAGTAGAAATCAAATCAACCCCTCGACAGCCCAGCTGCTTAGTAAGAAGCCTCGATTCCCCGAGGCAGGCCAGAACCCGCGGTGAGGACACCACTTACGCAGAGCTCCATCTTGTAACCACCTAACAGTGGCTCGTTCCTTGCTTGCATCCCCTCCGCAAACGCCGGGGAACTTTTTTCTCAGGGGACCAGAGCCAGGAGGCAGGGGACGCCCCGGAGAAGGCCCCGATCCGAGCCCCCTTTCAGCATTTCTCCCCTAACACACGGCAGCGCTAGGGCAGAGGCCCCCCCCCCACCCCGCGCCCGCAGACCGGCCCCAGCGGCGCCCCCTCCCGCCCACGCGGAAGGCGGTGACCGCTGCAATCGCCCCCGGGACCCGCGAAGAGGAAGGAGGATGGGGCGGGGTGGGGGGAGGGCGGGCGGCGGCCGCCGCCCCCCGCGGCCCGGCCCGGCGGTGCGGAGCGAGCTCGGCCCCGCGCACCGCCCCCGCCCTCCAGGCCCGGCCCGCGCCATCGCGGCCCCATCGGCGCTGAGCACCCGTCGTCCCCTCCCGCGGGACGTGCGGCGGGCCCCAGGAGGGGCGGGGCGGGGGGGGTGTGGGTGCTTGGAGGGGGCGAGCCCGGTACCTGCCGCTGCCGCTCCCGCCGCGCAGCGCCCGCGGGAGCCGAGCTGCGCCCCGCCGGCGCGTTCTGAGCGCGTCACTTCCGCCCCGCGACCGCTCCACCTCCCCCGCCGCCATCTATCAGTGAGAGCCGACGGTGAGGCGGGGCTGCTGTTCCACGGCAGCGCTCGGTGGCGGCTCCCGGCGCTAGGGGGTTGTGCCGCGCTTTATAGGTGTGCGACTCGCCGCCCCGCCGCGGTTCTGTGCGCGGCTCCCGCAAGGGCTTCGGCAGCAGTGAAATGGGATATTAACCAAATTTGGTGTTATGCTTGCACGAGACAAGATACATTGTTTGTATTGCTCTACCTCTATTTCCTGTTCAAGACAAAGCCCCCCCCCCCCCTTTCTTTCCTTAAATAAGTGTGTATTAGCAAAAGATCACCTCACAACCAGCACAAACTAGCTCTGTGGTTTGGCCCGGGTCCAGGAGGCGACAGAGACTGCGCAGTAATTCAGGATGAAAAGTTCGGCAGTGAGGTAGAGGAGATACTTCCTCCCATGACCACTGCCCAGCTCTCCACGACCCCTGCCCAGGACCAAAGGAACTCACTGCGCAGCCGCAAGGAGGAGGAGACCTAATTATAATAAGCAGGGAGAGCAGGCGGGGATAGATTATGAATATGTATAGGCGTCTCATGAATATGCAACACTTTGTAACATATAAGCAAGGCTAGCGCGGCAGGGGGGCGATCACGCTTGTTGTGGCGGAGCGATCGCCCACGTGCCCGGCGCCGAATAAACATACCTGCTTTACAACCCTTAGTTGTGAAGTCTTTCATCCGGAAATCAGCAGCGCTCAGGGGGACGCGGCCACACGCCCGCCCACCCCCCTCCACCCCCGCCGCCTTTCCTGCTTGTTCCCACTCGTGTCACACACCCCACGACCCACCTCAAGGCCCTCGGGTGTTTCCCGACCCTTATTCTCCACAGTGGCTGTCAGGGCGCTCCCCACCCCCCCCCCCCTTCCCCAGAGCAGTGGGCACCCCGCTCCCCACCTGCCCCAGCGCACGGGGCTCTTGGATCGCCTCACCTTGGCGGCGGTCACCCTGCCCGCTTCCCGCGGCCGGGCGCTCACTCGGGAGGCAGGGGCGGCAGCAGCCCCTCCGCCTCCGCCCGCGCGTCCTCCGGGGCAGACGAGAGGAGGGACCGCCGCTTTCCTAGAGCGGTGGGCCGCCGCTTCCGGCTCCGGTGCCGCCATTTTGCCGTGAGACAGCAGCCGACCGGGTCGCCGGGATGTTGTCCACCGCTGGTTACGCGGGCTCCGGGCCTGAGATGGGCGATGAACTCGGCGCGCCTCTGCAGCACCGCTTCTCGCCCTACACCTTTAACGGAGGGTGAGGAGTCGCGGCAGGGTGTGGGGCGAGCTGAGGCACCCTCTTACTGGGGGAGGAGGCCCTGAGGAGAGCGGCGGTGGGGTCGGGTTGAGTTGGGTCTTCCTCCTCTTACTCTCGCCTCCCCCCCGGCACTCTGTTCCCCCTTGCGAGGCCCTCCTTTGTAGAGAAAGGGTGGCAGCACGGGGGAGAGATGGGCTCGGCCTTGCCCCGGGATGAGCTTTCCGAGGGTCTTTGCAGCTCGTCAGGGTGTTCTTGCGTGTCCGCGTGGCTTTTGGCACGCTCGGGCTCCCTGAACTTTTACGGGTCAAAATAAGCCGCTTCTGTTTCCCGCAGAGTTGTTTCTTTATAGTGGCTCAGGAAAACTGTGTAATGGTCGTGTTACCAGCTTTTAAACCTGTAACTGGGTTGAAAGCTACCTTGTCGTAACCGTTAAAGGAAGGTGATGTTTTAGAGACACTTGCTCTGAGTTGGTGACAGAATATGGCCAGGATAGTGTTATTTAGATTTTTTTTTTAATAATGCCCAACTGATTTTTAAAGTACATCTGCTTGTTACTTAATGGTAGCACACATGTGGCAATCACAACACTAGTTATTGGGAATTAAATCAAATAGGATAACATCAGGTTTGAAAAGTGATGATAATTTAAGTATAACGATAATGATGCCTAGTACTTGGCTGGAGTGTTTTTGCTTGGAAAACCAAACTTTTAGAAGGGTGAATTTTTCATTAGCAGGCATCTAAAATTACTAGTCCACTGAGTCTGGTTATTGGGTTATATAGAAACTCTTTTACTAAGTCGCTACAGTTTTTAGTCAAAGTAGAGAATTGTTTGCATATATTTTCTTCAGTGTGTCTAGTATGTTCTTTCAGCCTTGAGTCACACGTAGGGATATGCATAGTTGGAAACATAACAAGGAATATAAGATGCTTGACAAAGCGTGAGTCTGGATATAGAACTATCTTGTCTGTTCCTCAGTTGCCTGAGAAAATATTTGTGTTAAAAGTAATGATTATGTGAATATTCTTCTTTAAGGACTGTGTTGGCGATTGCCGGAGAAGACTTTTCCATTGTTGCTTCTGACACACGACTGAGTGAAGGCTATGCAATTCACTGCCGGAACAGTCCAAAATGCTACAAACTGTAAGTCCATGTCTCGTAAGAATTAAAACGGATGAAAGATCTTTTGTATTGCTGAGCACGTCACCTGCCTGGAATGATCTATCGCTTTCTTTAAGCAGAATTCTCAGAAAAAAACGGATAGTAACAAAATTTATTTTGAAGTCATGGCGACTCTTGCTGTAATGCAAGATGTGATGTGATGATGTAAATACAGCCAGATTTCTTGTTGCATGCTGTTGAAATTAGCTGATTACAGAACATTTTTAGCATGAGACAAGGCTTACTGTAAGCTAGTTGTTTTTTTGGCTGGATAATTGTAAGAACTTTTGTCTTAACTGTAGCAAAACTTAATCAATCCTGTTGTAACTTGGGTGTTAGTACACAAGTGTGCCTGCTGCTGCCAGTTTTACTGTCTCTCTAGTCAACCAATTGGCACTTCAATGAGGTGTTTGTTTTAGGAGTGGTAAACCTCTCAGTAGCTCCCTTATTGAACTTCTGCTCATTTTGTGCTTATCTTGACTCACTTAGATATCATCCCCTTGGTTTAAAAATACATACTGTTTACAGTAATTTTGACTGTAGCAGGTGCTTACCTAGTAAGCTGCCATCAGCTATGTAAACAGTTTGTTTTGTTTTGTTTTTTATTGGTGACGCAAGATCATATGAACTTGCATTTCTCCTGGCTAACTCCTTACTGCTCTTTGATGCTCTGATACCATTCAAATGGAAATTACTGTGGTACAATCAGCATACTGCACATCATGGCTTTGTGTAATTCTAGTGACAGGCTGAGAGAAGATTTCAGTTTAAACTGTTTTCTGTGTGACTGCTTTGTGATAGACTGTTGGTAGACTCTCACCATTTTACCAGAATTTAAATTTCAGAAGTGCGTTCTTATAGTTAGTGTTCATGAAATGTTTTGAAACTGAGCAAAGAGCTAACCTTCTGCAATGCCCCTGCAATGGGTAACAACTTTTGTTGTGCTGATGCAGAAACCACCTACAGCATGAATGTTGCATAACCATCATACAATCTTAATGCGGTCTTCTGGTTGGATGGAGTAAAACTGGGCTGAGTGATATGATGCAACAGGCTCACCACCTCAAAACAGATCCTCTAGCACGACTTGCGTGGTAATAGCTAGTTAGGGGTGCATGAAAAAATTAAGAACATTTTTTGTCAGTTTTGCTGTGGAAGTCAGTGAATTGAAGACAGACATCTGTGTGGTCCTGCACTTAATGAGTCTTCTCCAAGATGTAGGTTGCAGTTGCCTTTTGTCCACAAAGTATGTTACTATGTTTGAGGTAACTGGTTTTGATAGCATTAAAGAAAATGAAAATACATTTGGTGTTTTCATAATAATCTATTGTGTAAGAAAGTGGTATAGTTTATACGAAATCTAAAATCACAAAAAAATTTTCTGTTTTACAGAACAGAACAAACAGTCATTGGATGCAGTGGTTTCCATGGTGACTGCCTTACCCTTACTAAAATTATTGAAGCAAGATTAAAGGTAGCTAACTCTCTTATTATATTTAGAAACTTATCTTCTTAGTATCATGTGTGAGACCAATAATATGATATGTTTTTAATATAATTTTTGCTGCTTTTCTTCAAGTGTTTGTATCCTAATTGTATTGCTAGTGAAAGATCAGGCAGGGAGAAATTGATGCTGTGTTCTTAAGTGTAACATCACAAATTTAAAGAATGGAAGAGCTGGAGAGGATAGTGTTAATGAGACAACATCTATTGGTTGCAAAAATTTGGAGAAATGTTAATTTTTGATGTGTAAGAAGGCTTTACTTTTAGACCGGTGTGTTTTCAGTTACCGCGCTCGTTAATAATCTTGCTTAGCATCAGAGTCCTCTGTAGTGAAGTAACAGAGAATGTAATTCTGATTGAATGTAAAACTTAGTGTTTGACTTTCTTCTTGGACATGCTGTACCACTTGCAGATGTACAAGCATTCCAATAACAAGACCATGACGACTGGGGCTATTGCAGCAATGCTGTCTACAATTCTGTATTCTCGACGTTTCTTTCCTTACTATGTCTACAACATAATTGGTGGACTTGATGAAGAAGGTAAGGCTTGAACCAGAAAAAAAAAAAAAGAGGCGGCTAAATTTCTGTGGGTGAATAGCTATCCTTTTACATCTCAGGTGTACCAATGGAATAACAAAGTTTGTGTTCCTATTCCTAACACCTGCCTTCAGGCATTGCAGTACCTACACAGGTCAGATGCCTTTTATGCATCTGAGTTGTTTCCTACTTTCCACTACTAACTTGATCTTCCATTTCTGAAGGTCTGGAAGTCTAAAAGCTATCTTATAATTATTTGATTATAAGTGAAATCTGCTACCATTGCTTACCTCTCACACTTCACTCTAGACAGTGTCTTTAAAGGAGATGTTAGCAGTAAAATTGTATATATTTTAGTCAGGCCTTTGAATGTGGTAGAGGTTATTAAATATGAAGACTTACTCCGGAGACAGGTTTCTACAAAGATATTTTTAAATGTTAACTAAACTCTTACCAAAAATCATGACTTCTACATGGAAGCTGTAGTTTAACATACAGCCCTTCCAGGGCTTGCGGGGCTCTTGTCCAATGATTTGGTTGAGTTGCTAAAATACTGTGTTCTTTGGCTTTGGGCAGGAGCTCAGAGGTGGTCTTGTTTGGATAATTTCAGTCATTCCCCACAATTTGTTGTTACCGTTAAGTTATACTGCTTTTCCCAGTCTTACTAAGACATGTCTATGGTGCATGGAGTCTGAAAAGGGACTAGTCGGCCCTGTGGAATGGTAGGCCTCGGATC